TTTTTATTTTTTGGTTTTTCTTTTGAGTTTCAGTCTCAAGTGGCCCATCTGTGCTAGAATTCCCCATGTAACTGAGGATGGCCTTGAACCTCTGATGCTCTCACCTCAACTTCCTGAGTTTGGGGGCTACCACATCTGGTTTTATGTAGTGTTTGGGATGGAGCCCACAGTCTGGTGTTCTGCTGGCATGTCTTCTCCCCTCCAAAATAGGAGCATCATACAGACTGTAAACCTACAGTCCAAAATCCACAGTGTTTTAAGTGCCCACGTGAGGCTTCAAGCACAAGATTCCACATCTGACTTTCTGGAGTGGGTCACAGTCATCAGGCAGGTACCCTAAAATTACTGAACCCAAAGACACCGAGTCTTTGGATATATATATATATATATATATATATATATATATATATATATATGAGACAAATGAATTTTCTGTTTAGACTTTGCTCCTGTTTCCAAAGTATCTCAGAGTCTAGATACAAATATTCCAAAATAAAATTCCAAAATTTAAAAAAAATATATTGGGCTGGGGAGATTGCTAGATCATTAAAGCGGTTATCCTGCAAGTATAAGACCCTGAGTTCAACCCCCAGAACCCATGGAAAAAGCCAAGTCTGGAGTCAGGCTCCTGGGACTCACTGGAGCTCCAGGCCAGGAAAATGCCCTGTGTTCATACAAACTAACAAGGGACTGGAAAGATGGCGGTCCAGCACTTATAAGTGTGTCTCAGTCAGGGTTTCTACTGCTGTGACAAAACACCAGGACCAAAAAACAAGTTACGGGTGTGTGTGGAGAGGAGATTTATTCAACTTCCACTTCCACATTGCTGTTCACCACTAAAGAAAGTCAGAGCAGGAACTCAAACAGGGCAGGAACCTGGAGGAAGAAGCTGATGCAGAGGCCACAGAGGGAAGCTGCTTACTACTGGCTTGCTCAGCCTGCTTTCTTACAGAACGCAGGACCTCCAGCCTAGGGATGGCACCGCTCACCATGTGCTTCCCCCACCCCTGCCCCATTGAGCACTACTTGAGAAAATGCCTTACAGCTGGATCTCATGGAGGCACTTCCTCAACTGAGGTTCCTTCCTCTCTGATGACTCTAGCCTGTGTCAGGTTGACACAAAACCAGGCCGTACAGAGAGAGAGCACTTGTTGCTCTTCCGGAGGATCAGGCTTTCAGTCCTATGACCCACATGGGAGCTCACTGCCATCCATAACTCCAGCTCCACTCTGCATCAGGACCCATCTCCTGGCACAGCACTAACGTTTGCCAGCGAGTTCCCCACCAAATTCTCTTCCCGGATATCAAGGCCCAGCCTGATCTGAAAGATTACTCTGGAGGTAGGGTGACTGCGGGAAGAGCCTTGTGTCCCATGGGGCCATCTGTCTCGTGACTCATTCCTGGGCTCTTGTCTTTCCAAACACCTTACCTCACTGTCCCCAGACTTCTCCCTGTCCTGTCTGGCCAGTTCCTCCAAGGTTCCTCTGCAGCTTTGCCTGGTATCCTCAGGAGCTTGTGCACAGCACCTCTGGGAGCAGAGCCAAGTGTAAGCTGACACCTCTTCCCAGAGGAGACAGGGAAGTTCTTCTCTCCTGGGGAATTTATGGGTCTGTGCCAGCAGGGCCTAGGACCCAGGTTACCCATTCACAGGTATTCTTGTGCCACTGGGAGCCCTGTAGACCTGGTGCCAAGCTGCAGAGTCCCAGAGGAGGCTACTCACCTCCTTCTTCCTTGGTTCCTCGTCTTTTCCTCATGGTTTTCCAACTCCAGTGAGATAGAGAGGAAGAAGGGGAGACTAGCAGTGCCCCCAAGTGTTCATGCATCCCTCTGTCCCACCCTAGGCCAGCTCCTGCCCACCCCTCCCCTGTGCTGTTGGTGAACCCACGGCATCGGCACCCAACGGCACCTGCCGTGACCATGATCCACCTCCACATCTTTCCTCGACGCAGAACTTCGCCCAATCTTGTCCTTCTTCTAAAACCAGGCATAATCTTGTCCTTCTTCCAAACATGAGATGCGGAGCTCTTGCTAGGTTCTCACCGAGCAATCAGGGGAAGGACAGGAGCTAGGAGAAAACACAGGCTACAACAGAGGGCAGGGCAGTACACACTCACCTCAACTGGTGTAGCCAGGAGCCTGAAGATGCCCCTCTCAGGACTGAGCATTACAGCGGAATGCTTCCATAAGAGGTGATTGCCAAGTGATGGCAGTTGAAGTCTGAGGGTCCTGTCTCAGACAAAAAGCTTGGGTTCCTGCCCAGACTGTCTATCTCAGGAGTGGGGTTGAAGTATGGATGCCCCTGCTCTGGGACCCAGGGGAACCGGAGTGCCCAGCCTCTCTCAATGGCATTTCCCGCTTTTCCATCATGGCTAGGCTTGAGGGTGAGAGCTGCATTTCTGCAAACTCCCAAAGCATGGGTTAGCCTTGTTTGTCACCTTGTCTCTGTCACAAGTTTCTGAGTGGCAGACAACGGTATTACAAGCATGGTGAGTTCACCCTTCCTCGAGGGCAGGCCCTGGGTCCAAGGTCTGTGTTGGGAACAGAGACCAGGCTTCCCTAAGGAAACACTTCCGTTATGTGTGGCTTTTCTCTCAACACCACTCTCCGCCCTCCTTTTCTGTTTGAAGACTGCAGTCGGGGTTTCCCACTTTGGAGCTATTTAGACAGACATGAGAATGAGATCCTGGCAGGACAGCCATGAAAGGATTCCTGTCCCTGAGGGAGGCTAGCTGGCTGGGTGGCCCTACAGCCTGCCTTCCCATCCTCAGGACCGGCGCCAGGTGGCTTGGATACTCAGCCTAGAGGAACTTGGGGCTCCCGCCTGCTGCTGAACCTGAGCCTGAGCCTGGACTGTATCTTTCTGAGCTCTGGCGGTGACAGCCAGCTCTGTGGCGGCCCCTTGGCCTCTCAGAGCCTCGTGTCTGCCAAGGCCACACGTTCCTAGAAGGCCTTCAGACACTAGGCCACATGTATGGGGGCTTCTGGCTCCCCGGGGTATGCAGGTGGACCAGCTCAGGCCTGGCTTGTGGGGAAACTGAGGAGATGAGGCTGTAGCCTCTGGAAGACCTCTGGGCCTGCCAAGTCTGTGGGTTAAGTCAGGAGGGTCAGATCAGGTGGAAACATACCCGCTGGTGTGCCATGACCAGCCAGGGCACATCCACTCAGCAGTGTCTTGCACATCGCAAGTAGGAAGACTCAAGTTTCAATGTAGCACAGAAGTTCGGGCAGATTTCTGAATCTTTAAGCCTCTGTGTCCTGGGCATCCCCATGGGCAGGGGGACTGGCAGGAACTTGCTTCTAGGGTGACAATAATAGGTGCCCACAGCGGCTAGAACAAAGTCAAGGCATCATCATGTGAACTGGGGGACAGAAGGTGGCTATGATTCTCACCATTCTAGAATCACAAAGAGAAATAACATGTTGTTCGTTCCTCAGAGGAACACGCGTTCTTTGTGGCCATTAATTACTTCCTGAAATGCCTTCTTGAGTTTGGCAATTGGCAGCTGGCAGGTGAGAAGAAGGATGAAGGGGCTTTGTGCCAGGTGAGGGACGGGCCCCAGCGCACACCCGATCTCCTGTCTTTCCTCCAGAGGCTGGCAGGGCCAGACTCAGTGTTGGGTTTGTGCTATTCGCCCTGACAGGGAGGAGATGTAAGAATCACTCAGTGGTTTGGGGACAGTTGCTGACAGGCTGGTCATGCTCCCTGTCCTGAGGTATGCCAGGCATCTCCATGTCAGCCTTGACTGGTTACGGGTCACTGACTGACTTCAGCCCAGAGTGGTTTGTGGCAGTGGCCATAGCATCAGGACGTGACTGTCCCACAGTCTGAGGGTACAACCCCTAGCTTTTTCTGGCTCTGGCAGGAATGAAACCCTGGGTGTGAACGTGACAGATGTCCCTTTGAAATGTGTCTGGGGAATCCTAGGAACACGTGTAGGAAGGGAACACCTCCTCTGAGAAACGGGGGCCCACTATTGGACCTCAGAGGTCACGTGGGTCCTGTGCTTGTTAGAGGGGCGGAAAGACCTAACTTGATTTCTGCAGTGGCTTAGGAAATCAGTCTTCTAGAATAGTCTGACTGAGGCCCAGCCTCCTCTGCAGGGCTGCCTGAGGCATCTCTTTGCCTTTCAGATCGGGGAAGTTAATTCATGATGATGGCAAAACTCACAAGAGCTTCCTTCTTTACGAGAACTTACTGCTCTGTTTCTAGAAACGTCCACCACTATAACATGAGGGCACATGGGGGTCACCTGTTGGCAGAGGTGGCTTTACGGATCACAGAGAGGCCCTGCATGTGTGCCTTGCTGTGTTGTCTTGGCCTCTGTGTTTCATGAGGGAAGTCAAAGGGAACCTTGGTTCCCAGGGCCCTGCATACTGCCATCACGGGGTTTCCATTCATGGGTCATTGACCCTCTCATGCTCAGCACCTAATGAGACCTGGACATACCTGAATGCACCCGTGACATATCAAGGAAGAACACAGTGACAGTTCTTCCCCACTGTCCTCAGCCAGGCTCCTCACACATCCTGACTGCCGTGGTGCAACGCTCTTGGGGTCATCCTCCTTGGCTGGGGGGCAGCCAGTCCTGGGGAAGCAACGTTCCTTACTATGTTCCCAGCTATGTCTCAGTGCATTGCTTCAGTTGCTGCTTAGAGGGAAGCCTATCTGCCCCTGTGTGAATATGGGGGGCTGTACCCAATCTGTGAGTACTCTCACACCCAAAAGAGAACCCCAGCAGACAGAAAACTCTGCAGCAAGCGGGGAGAAACTGCAGCCAGAGGAGAACACTATTGCTAGTTCCCTGTGCACCTCCCACCATGAACGTATCTCCCCTGGTGTTGGCACAAGGGGCCCTGCTTCCATTTTGCACTGAGCCCCTCAAAGAAGGTAGCCAGACACACTTGTTGGCCCCTTAGTAAAATTCTGAAGTCTTTGCCTGATCCCCAAGGACGTTCTTTTCTGAGGAGACACTTACCTGCCCTCTCTGCTTCCCCCACAGGTATCGTGTTAGCTGTGTGCCAGGCTCTGGAGAACAGCACGTCCCCCTTGAGCGGTGAGTCCATCCTCCCTGGGTGTGCATGGGGTGTGGGTCCTGCCTCACTCCTGGAGAACCCTCTCCCTAGGACACTTGCCTGTCCTTGAACCTTCTGCATCTCCTCTGGGCAGGAAGAGGAGAGCCTACTAGAAGGCCTTCACCAGGGCCTAAGGGGACTATGCAATCCCCTCAGGGGCAGCCCATTCACAGAACCCTTCACCTGTTTAGACAGCCAGTGTGGCAGGTGAAATGGGCCTGCAGGACCCCAGAGCTTGAAGCTGTCCATACTTTACCAACCGTGTGTTGACTGGATTTCCGAAGCTCCTGTCCATTCCTGCCCAAGGACTGTTGCTTATTTATTCTCCCCCCCAAGCGCCTGCCTATCTCCCCCGTCTCTCTCAGCACTTCTGAGGGTTGGAAGACAAAGCCCTCACCATCTCCATGTCCTTCTGTTTCACGGGCTCCTAACTGGTGGCTTCTGTTTGTAGACGGTAATGGTTGTCTTCGTGATTTTGATTTCTGCTTTTCCTGTGTGTTGGGATACAGGAGTATGCATTTATTAGGTACTCTTGTGTGACAAGCACGCACCCACTAAGCCATCTGGCAAGCACCAGATGCCATAGCAACATTTACAGCCTGGCCTTGAGGGGACTTGGATATGAGACCAGGCGGGAGTCACCACTTGTTCTGGTACCTGATGGAAGTGCCTCCAGGCCGCTGCATGAGGCTGAGATGCTGGCTTGTGACCCTGCCTTGCACTCTTCTAAAGCAAACTGTGCACCTGAAGCATGCAGGCTTCAGGGCTGGGTCAACCCTGCTGGCTACCGAGCCACTCGGGTGAGACAGGTTGGAATGGTGGCAAATGCTGAGGTGGCTGTCAGTGGGAAGGATGCTCGTGACTGTCGTACCCCTTCAAGTCTATTCACATGGACAAAGAGAGTCTGGTGATGTGAGTTTGATCCCTCAGAGCCCTGGAGTGGCTCCTGCTGAGCCTCCTTGAAGTGCTGTAGGCTCCCTTGGCAGACCTGATCACTCATGCAGAGAATGACAGGCCACCCCCTTCTGATGCCTCAGTTCCCACTCCCTCTTCTGGATTTTCTTCTGAGGGAATGTGCCCAACATCAGTAAGTGTTTAGGATTTATCCTTCTCACACAGAGGCCCCCCAAAGCACGTCCACCCCCTGCTATGCTGCCTGGACTCTATGATAACTGAGCACCCATGGAGGCTCAGGATGGCAGGCCAGAACAGAGGCCACACTGCATTGCACAGAAGGCCCCAAACCACATCCCCTCTGGGGACAAGGGAGGTGGCTACCTGTCTGACCTCTGACAGCTCTCAGTTGGCTGAATGATTAGATGTGGGACTGGTTCTCTTTTGTTTTACACACTCTAGAGCCTGGGTCCTGGGACTCGGGAGGAGGGGCCAGGAGTCAAGTTCAAACAGTGATGACTATGTCGTGGTCACCTCTGCAAAGGCCGAGGTTGGGTGACTAAGTAGGACTTGCCTGCCTCACTTTCTCTTCTTTGCGGTGACCTCATCTATAGGACTGCTAGGTTTGTCCCACTCCTCTCTGCCATCCCCAGGGCTGAAATTCTGTGGTGGGGGTAGCTTGAGTGTGCCTTGCACGTTCAGGTACACATGTGCATAGGTGTACATTTGTTCATATGCTCGTGGAGACCAGACGACAGCTGTGGGCGTCATCCTTTGAAACATCGTCCATCTTTTCTGAGATAGGGGCTCTCAGTGGTTAGGAGTGGTTGGCCAGCGAGCCCCCGTGATCCTCCTGCCTCTGCCCCTGAGAACTGAATTAAAAGAACTCAGCAGCCTCCTTATTTTTTAACATGGGTTCCAGGGATTGAACTCACATCCTCATGCTTAGACGTAGGTACTCATTGACTGAGCCGTCTCCCCAGCCCTCAGTGTTAATTTGTGATTATTTTGGTGTTTTCTTATATTGTCTGATACATGTGTTTTTTTTTCTTAGTGATTATGTTGGTGTTTTCTTATGTTGCCTGATACATGTATATTTTTTTCAGGTGAACTCTGTTTTAGAAATTTTATTCATTTATATACTGAGTGACTTCAATATCTGAGTTTTCCTTCCTGGGTATTAGTGGGCTCATATACTGAATTCCTGAAGCATCCACTAGGTGTTAGGATGAGGAACTTCAGGATGGTAGCAAATGGGCCCAGCTCTCACTTTGTTGATTGGAACCAGAAGCCAATGAACCTACATTTGGTTTAATATATCCCTGAAGGACAATCATGCCACAAGGGCCTCTGGCAGACCTAGGGCGAAGCCCCCCAGCATTACAGAGCATTGTGGAGAGAAAATTTCAGGCTCCAAGTGCCATCAAGGGTGGGACCCCAGTTCAGCAGAACACAAGGTTTGTCTTTGTCTTTTTTTTTTGGCTTTGGACGAAGCATCCATGCCGTTAGAGCAGGCAGTTGCCCTTAGACTTTCTTGGTAAGATCTTGTTTTGTTACTTTCTCTTAGATCCCCAAATATGGAGGGCAGAGGGTGGCAAAGGTGTGAGAAACTGAGTTGCATCAGTAAAGGCTTCACGGCCATTTATTTTGGGTGGAACAGTGGAGAATATGGGGCCTTGGAGAGAAGGCCAGGATCCTGTGTGGGGCCCACTTGGTTTCAGACTTTCCAAGTTCCTGAGCAGGTTAGTCCTCAAGTGTTTGCTTAGATTAGTTTCACATCTGTGGGACCGGGCTGAGTGATGGCCTGAGAATCTCCACATGGCTGTCCTGGTGGACGAGGAGAGGCCTTGGAGGGCTCCTGAGGATCCCTTCAGGCTTTAGGGAGCATTGCAGTCAGTGAGCACCTCGTCGTAAGGCCTGCCCTGAGCTGGGTTGAGAAGTGGTGCTGTGATTGCCCAGCAGAATTCACCCTCCATGTCCACAGGTTCTGTGTTGTTCAATGTTTTATTCTTCGGGCTTTTTAAGGGGCCCACCACCCAGCTCCCAAATGAATCGCACACGGGGCCTATTCTTAGGAATGACCAAGAAACTTGACTTGTTTCTTGCCAGCTTTTCTTAAATTATCCCGACCACCTTTTGCCTCTGGACTTTGTCCTATTCCTTCTGTGTGTCTTGCTTTTTCACTCTTGTTCCGCGGCTGGCCTAGTGACTAGGTGACTGGCCCCTAGTGTACTCCTCTCCTTGTTCTTTAGCTCCTTCTCCTCCTTGTTTCTCTGTCTATTCATTCTCTCTACCTGCCAGCCCCACCTATCCTTGCTCCTGACTTGCCCTTGGCCGTTCAGCGCTTTATTAGACCACCAGGTGTTTTAGACAGGCAAAGAATCACAGCTTCACAGAGTAAAACAAAAACAACACATCTTTACATCATTAAACAAATGTTCCACAGCATAAACAACAATATTAAAATAATATAAAATAATATAAAAATGATATTTCCCAACAGTTATGCATCTTAGAAGCCAAAGGATAAATGGCTCAAAAATACCTGGAAAAAATGGCAAAATACTGAATATATATAGACTTGCTTCCCTAAGGTGTTTACAAAAACAACAACAATATGGCCGCTATTTATACATTATTTTGCATATTATAGTAATTCAGAGGTGATTTTAAATGCACAGGAGGGGCTAGGGAAATGGCTTGGTGGAATTGTGAAGGTCAGAATTCAAATCCTCGGAACCCACATATAAAATGGACAGGCATGGTGGTTCCCTGTAACCCCAGCACTTAGTAAGGGAAGACAGCTGATTCCCGGGACAAGCTAGCTAGACTATCTGAAACAGTGAGAGACCCTGCCCCGATAAATACAGTGAAGAACAGTCCAGGAAGACACCTGATGTCAACTTTGGGCCTGCACACTCACACGTATACACACACACACACACACACACACACACACACACGTACACACACGTGCGCGCAGAAAAAACAAACCTAAAGAATGTGTGAGAACATGAGTGTAGTTTCAGTGTACACCCTACACTATTTCCTGGAAGGATTTGAGCATCTGTGGTTTTAGTACGGACTGCTCCTTCCTGGGTACAGAGGGAGAGCTGCATTTGATTCTCTTAGGATGCTACATCTCAAGGATGCTCTTGTATCTTCAGATTCTAACCCTCTGGTTGTTAAAATCCCACAAAGAATCGAAGATCTCTGCCTGGCCCTCCAGGAGCCCACACAACAGGTGACGACCCAGTCTGTGGCCTTTCTTGGGAGTGTCACTGGCTGCTCAGTGTGTCACTTAGACCATAAACTGCCGCAGGAGTGAAATCAATGTTCTGAAATGTGGAGCATAAACTTTTATCCTTGTCGGTTGTCTGTTTATAAAACATCAGCTGGAGGCAGATGAGGGCGTCGGCATTCACATCCTAGAACACCGGCTACGCCCTCCTCAGGAAAAAGCTCCGACCTATATTCAAAAGGCACTCACTCTTCGGTGCCCCCTTTAAAAGGGACAGAATGCACCCAGCACAAAGCTGTCGGGCAGCCGCTTGCCTCACCCTCAGCAATGCTACACTTTCCCAGGCCGCTCATCTGGTTTTTTCTCGTGAGACTCACTGTAATGACCAAGAAGGTGTGGTGAGGGCCCCTCTGGGCCCCTGGGAGCCGGGTCCCTGCCTGCTTGCACGCTCCTCAGAGTGACTGTCTGTGCCTCGACTTCCTCTTCTTTCACCTTTGGCCAGTGTCTACGGACACACACCTGGCCTCTCAGCATGTTTGATGGTTTGTTCAATTTAGTATCGGGAAGACTATTCAAATATGATAAACAGACACTTCACTGTGGGGTTCTTCGTAGGGCATGCCACCATCCCCACTCGCTCGGGGAGATAGTGGCCAGGTCAGGCATCACTGGGGACTGTAGACTCCAGTCTGTTGAGATGAGAGTCCAGGCTGGGCTGGACAGAAAGAGGCCATGTCGGATTAGAGGGGAAAGCCTTTGAAGTCTTTGCTTGTTTACACAGCCAGCCAGTCAGGGCTCTCCTCACGGCTCACCTCCTTTAACAAAAGCTTTTCAGAACTTCAAACTGCTTCCCTGTTCCATTGTCTACGGTTTTCCCACATGTGAAGCTGAAGCCATTCTAAAATTAGAAGGCTCACGTGTTTGATCCAGGTACATGGTTCACCTGTTTCAAACCTGCGTCTCACACAAGAGGTTTGCTGTGCCACAGTTCGGGAGGGAACCGCACGCACCTGTGTGTGGTTGTCTAGTGTGTGCATAGAGGAGCAGCGGGATGGAATGAGAGCCTTCCTGCCTTCCAGGGTGTGGCCTTGATGTCATCTACTTCCTCATTTTACCTGCGACTTGTGTGTATATGTGTGGCGTACATGCCTGTACAGGTGTGTACTTGTACACATTGAGACTGGAGGCTGACAGAACCTCAATTGCTTGCCACCCTTTTTTCCCCATTTTTTAAGATTTTTCTCTTAATTTACATTCATGGGTATGTGCCTGCCTGTGTTTGTTTTCTGGGTGGGTATAGGAGTTTTCAGAAGGCAAAAGAGGTGTCAATCCCCTAGATCTGGAGTTCCATGTGATTGTGAAGCCACCATGTGGGTGCTGGGCACTGAACCCCAACTTTAACCCCAGTCCTCTACAAGACTGTAAGCATTCTTAACTGCTAAGCCATCCAGCTTATTTTTGAGAGAAAGTCTCTCACTGAGCTGAGAGCTTGTGGATACAGCTAGATGGGCTGGCGGACAAGCACCAGGGCCTTTCCTGTCCCTGCGTCCCCAGTGCTGGGGTCACAGGTTTGTGCCTCTGCACCTGGCTTTTCACAAGGGTGCTGAGATCGGGACCCGGGTCACCAGTTTTTCACAGCAAACACTTTACCAGCTGAGCCATCTCCCAGCCCCTCCCTGTTACTTTTTGCAAGGGAAATTGTGCTATGCCTGTTGCTTTTCAACCAGGCTTCTCTGGGAGAAAACAAAACAAAACAAACCATGGAGAAGGGTTGTTCCCCAGACTCACTGTCTAAGAAACATTTACAGAGCCCTAAACTCTCCCTGCGCCTTTATTTCCTAGGAGCAAAATAAAGGAATAGGATCACATCGCTGACTTTCAAACCACAGGTCACAGCATAGCTTTAGTAGGGGCATGGACAACACTTGAAAGGCATTCATGGAGTCCCTGGAGGCATCAGGGCGCAGTGGAAGGACTTGGGTGTCTATCCTTGTCTGAGACAGGGTCTCTTTGCTTTTTCTTCCTGCTGTGTGCCAGGCTAACAGGCCTGTGCGCTTTCAAGGATTCTCCTGTCTCCGCCTCCCATTTGCCCCACGTGGGAGCAGGACAGCAGATCACTTATGACATGCTCATCTTCAGCAGGCCTTTCCAAAACCCCATACCTACAAGAGCAGTAGCTCTCCTTCCGTGCAGATAGTTCATTAATTTCCATAATATATAATTAACTTACGCAAATACAATACTGAGTACAACTGACACGAACAGGTTTGAGCACAAACACAATGGCCCGTGGTAAACATATAATCTAGCTGGTAGTACAGAAATAGGCTGTCAACTATGGAAGCCGCCTACCTGAGCTTGTGCTGGCTGAGGGCCTTGATCCAGTGGTGCCAGGAGACGAAGGGGAATGCTTGGCACTGGGTGTGCTATGGGCGTGTTTTAGTCGAGCTGGGGAGGGCAGCCATCATCTTTGGAGGAAGCAAAGCAAGTGATAAGATCCATAGAATTTTAGAATCTAGGGCTGCAGACGCCTTGCTATGTTGTTGTTTTCAGTGTTTAACATTTATTTCCCATACACTGTTGAGAACATTCCGTGGACCAGGCGTTGTATGTAGCCCTAAAGAGAACTAAGTGTAAGTCCCGCCAGAGAAGGACATCGGATCAGCCAGGTCGAGATGATGATTGGTCTGGTCTGGTCTTTAGAGACAGGGTCACCAACAGCCCAAATCGGCCTTGACCTTTGATTTGCTGTGTATTTGAGAGTGGCCTTGAACTCTTGATCCTTCCGCCTCCACCTTCCAAGTGCTGGGATTACAGGGATATGCCTTCACGCCTGGCTGATGGTGATTGTGGCATCCCAAACACAGACAAAGCCGGGACACACCATGATAGACTTCTCTGAAGAAAGCCACACTTGTAAACTCTGGAGACTCGGTGTTCTTAACCTCAGTTCCCACATGAATAGTTTTCATCCATTGCATACAGTTGCACCTTGCCAAACTGGGTGCCCAGCTGGCTTCCCTCTGATTGGCATCTCTTCTCAGCAGTGGCCATGGCACAGCCAAGGAGAGTGTCTCTCTCTCAGGCAGCAGTCCTGCCAAAGATAGAGCCCAGGTCCACAAAAACAGCCCCTTCGCTCCATCCTCCTGTGCAAAACGTGGCTACTTAGAAAGAGCTGGCCCCAGAGTAATGTTGGGAAAGTACTGGGTACCCCAGTTGGCCCAAGGAACACAGGTACCAAGACCCATGCAGAGACCCAGAGGTCACACATGGACTGGGCCATTACTCTGTCTTACATGAAGAACATCCTAAGGCCAGCCATCCTGTGTCTGCCTTAGTGAAGTTCAAAGAAGAATCTGATTGCCTTGATGCTTTGGAGCTTTAGAAGCAAGGGAAGGTGAAAGGAACCAGAAGGCAGTGAGACCTGAGGAAGAAGGCAGATGTCCTAGTTAGACCTGGAAGAGAGGAGCCTGGCATCCCAGGTCCAAAATGCCCTGGAACTATTCTACATAACATGTTTGCTGAGCAATTTGCTGCCTTCCAGGCCCTGATGTCAATTAGACACAGCCTAGAACTGCCTGAAACTAACTTCAGTGAGGCAGTTGTCTTTATTAGGCTGGTCTGTGAACATGTGTGTGAGGGCTTGGCTTGACTATTAATTGACGTAGAAGGGCCCAGACTACTGCAGACAGTGCCATGCCTAGGCCAGTGCTCCTGGGGTATATAAGAAAACTAGCTAAGCGGGATTCTGAGCAAGTCAGCAGTGTTCCTCCATGGCCTCAGCTTCCTGTTCCTGATTGCCTTCCCGCCCTGACTTCCCCCAGTGATGGATTGTGATCTGGAAGTACATGATTGAGTAAGCCCTTTCTTTCTTCAAGACCTTCCGCTCAACTGGAGACGGACATCATGGATGACTCCGCTGAGCTGACACATTTCTGAGAATGATAGTAGAGTTTGGGACATCTCATGTATGTGTTACAGGATGGCAGCGTCGATTGCCAAAAGGTGTGCAAGCCAATGTGACCTTTATGATATTGGCAGATTGTGACAGCGTCTTCCTATGTAGCCCAGGGTGTGCCTTGAGAGCAGCTTAGGGTTAGCCCATAAGTAATAACTTGAACCTTGTTCGCACCCTACAACCTCACTGTGGCTCTTCTAGGGATCTATGTTAGAAAAACAATGAGAAGTTAGGTTGTTCCTCACTGGAGCGAAAGGAGTCTTTGAACGTCCAGAAAAGGGAAGCAGTTCCTGAACAGGTGGGCAGAGGGATTGTAGGTGGTCCCTCAAAACTGTCCAGGCGAGGGGATAGAGAGATGGTTCTGGTCGAGAGCACTGCTCATCAGAGAATCTGAGTTCAATTCTAGTACCCATGCGGCAGCTCACAAACCCCAGTAGCTTTAGTTCCAGGGTCTCCCACACCCTCCTCTCACCTCTGAGGGTACTGCATGCTTGTGATGCACATACATGCCCACAAAACACCTGTACACATTCATTTTTAAATTTTCAATTGTGTTAATGAGCCAGGCATGGTGATTCATGCCTGCAATTCCAGCACTCGGGAAGCTGAGGCAGGACTTTGAGATCAGCCTGGGCTATGAAGGAAACCCTGTCACAAAAAGAAATTAGGCAAAGTCTCATGTATCCCAGGCTAGCCTCAAACTCACTATATAGTTGAGGATGACCTTGTACTTCTGGTTTTCCTGCCCCTACCTCCCAAATTCCAGGGTTACAAATATGCTTTTAAAAATTCTTCTGATGAAGAAATGAAATATGCAATGAAGGAGGCAGCATGATGGCTTTGTTTCCTGGGGTCTCAAGCTGGAGTCCCCACTTCTAAGCTGTGGAGCCTCGGAACGTGCAGTTTATAGACTCATCCTGAATCTAGGGTCTTCTCTTGAAAGTCATAGCCCAGCTCCTTGCAGCCCAAGCCAGAAGGGACATCTTTTCCTTCCCCTCTGTCACCCAGCTGCTCATAGCAGCCCTTCCTGCGGTTCTTCTCTCATCTCTACTCAAGGGGCTTGGATTGTGGCCAGAACCCCTCCGCACCTTGCCCAGTAGATTTAGGAAGATGTTTGAGGTTTCAGAAAGGGAAGGTCTCACATGTCACTCTGAAATCTGCCACAAGTGAATCTTCCCGATACTGTAACAGGCTCTGACATGCTTCTATAAAAGTCCGGTATCTTCTATTAAAGTCAGTTTTCAGCACACTTTGCAACCAACACCCAGTTAAATAAAAGCCAGCCCAGAGAAGGCAGAATTCTGAGGCCTGACCACAGGGACCACTGTGGGCAGCTTCTGTCTCAACCCTGGGTCAGTACTTCATTTTCTCTCTCTCTCTCTCTTTCTCTCTCTCTCTCTCAACAGGATTTCACTCTGTAGCTCAGAATGGCCTGGAACCCATATTGTAGCCTAGGCTGACTTTGAATTTGTAGCAATCCTCCTCCCTCAGCAAAAATCTAATTTTAATATCAAAAGCATGAACCCTACAGATAGTAACTTGGCCTTTATTAATTACATCTTATTGAATCAATATACATAATTGCCAAAGCTACCATGAGAGTTCAACATGTCACAATGAACTTGTGTTTCTTGTTTGTGTTAAACTCATGTCGTCCCAATGTAAACTGGCAGACTGTATTTGCTACAAGCTGGATACTGGTCTGTCTAGACCATTTAATTTCTGTAACTCAAAGGAGGTCATTTTAGCAGCTGCATCTTACAATTGGTAAAACTGAGGCACAGAAAGTTATAAAGCTTTTCCAAGGTCACTAGAAAGTGGGAAATGTGGAATTCAAACCCAGGTGATAATGGAATACCGGGTTCTGAGTACCCTACCTCTGGGATTTTTAACCTCTGCTTGCGTGCACACACACACACACACACACACACACACACACACACACACACTAAATGCATCTAAAAATATAATAAAAATTAAATTATTCATCTTAACACAAAATGTGTGTGTAATCACATATGCACATGTGTGTTTGGATAGCATGTGCACATGGAGAATACTATGTAAGCACATGCATCTAACAGCAATATTTTGCCTTCTTTCTTAACACAAAGGTATATAATCTACCTCTGTCTGTCTGTCCTGCCATTCCGCAGAGGCTAGCTCAGATCCTGTGGGGGATTTTGTTCTTAGATGTCAAAGGTTTGGTCACAAGTGCTTCTTGGCAGAATCTCCTCGCAGGTCCAGGTGAAACCCTGTCAGGGGTCCTGTAAACACTGGTGACCCTGGAGATGGCAAAGCCAGTTGTTAGGGATAAAAGCAGTGTTCTCTTGGCTCAGCTTTAATGTGTGCAATGTCCCTGTCTGCTGGTCACCTCGGGTGGCCACAGTCCAGGAAGTTTCTAGGTCAGCAGGATAGAAAATCCAGCCTCCTCATCGTCTCCCGCCGACTCGTCGAAAAGATGTCTGAGTGGGGAAATCACTCACGTTTGACAGTACTGTGCATAGAATCTGGAGCCTGCAGGCCTGCCTAGTAAATGGCTTTTTAAAAGCTTAAGTAGCATGGCTTTAATGAGTGTCCATCCCCAGAACCTGTATGTCTTCCTCTGTCTGTCTGTCTGCCCTTCAGCCTAAACCAGCTCAGGTCCTGTGAGGGTCTCTTCCTGTGAGTGTGTGTGCAGAGTCTGGTCACCGGTGCTTCCTGACCGAACCTCCTGATGAGACAGTCCTGTCAGGACACTTGTGCGATGTGGGTGGACCTTGACAATCACTGCATTTTAAGATAGCGTCATTTGTGTGTATGTGGCTGTGTAGCGCTGGGGACCAAATCCCGGGCCTTGGGCATGGCAGCCAAACACTCCACTGCTGAGCTAGTGAGTTACAGCCCCACCCCCAAGCCACTCCCTCCTCCTCCTCCTTTTTCAAAGACTGGCATTATTTAGAATCTGGCTCAGGCCAGGCTTAAATCCCAGCACTCAAGAGGCAGAGCAGGCCTGAGGATCTGAGCCAGCCTGGTCTACATAGCAAGTTCCAAGCCCATCAAAGTCACAGAGAACTGAAAGAAGAACAAGAATATAACTCAACCAATGCTTTCTTTTTAAGTAAGAGTGTCTCCCCCTCCCCCCCCCCCCCCCCCCCCCCCCATTGCCCAGGTCATACGTGTGAGTCTTCCTAAATAGGAGACATCTCTGAAAGGTTCTGGACAGTGTGTGGAGAAACACCCTGTCCCATATGACAGCCACACACCACTGGGGAACCCCATGCCAGCTCTGCACAGGAACTAGAATGCTATCGAGGGTTCTAGTTTGCTATTTGCTGCTATAATAAACACCATGACCAAAAGTACCTTGGGCGGATGTCCTGGTTCCTGTTCTATTGCTGTGAAGAGACACCATGGCCAAGGCAACTCTGTAAAAAGAAAGCATCAAATGAGGACTTGCTTGCAGTTTTAGAGGGCTAGTCCATGATCCTCATGGCGGGAAACAGACCTTCCTGGCGCTGAAGCAGTAGCTGGGAGCTTTACATCCTGATCTATAATAGCAGGCAGAGAGAGATGAGACAGACACACCTCCAACAAGGCTGCATCTCCTAATCTTCCCCAAACACTTCGTCAACTAGGGACCAAGTATTCAAATATGTGAGATTGTGGGGGTTGTTTCCATTCAAAACACCACCAGGAAGATGGCTTCTGAGTCTCCGTTACAGTCCGTCCTTGGAGGAAGTCAGGGCAGGAGCCATGGCAGAAGATGCTTAGTGGCTGGTTCCCTGTAGTTTGCCCAGCCTGCAAACTACAACCCAGAACCTGCCCAGGATGGCATTACCCACAGTAAGTCAGGCCTTCTCATACCAATGATTAACCGGGAAAATGCCTCGCAGACATGTCCTGGTACAGTTCGGTGGCGGCAAGTTCTCTAGAGGCTCTCTCTTCCTGAGTGGCCCTAATTTGCATCAGGTTTACAAAGACTAACATGTGATGTCAGAACTCTGTGCCTAGTGCACTGACCCCAGCAAAGAGCTCCGCCCTGCCATCTCTTCCAGCGTAGTATGTGGTGGGGAACAACAGTTCCCAAAAGCAGTGACCAACCATATCCTCACACACTCTCTGTGACACTCTGCTTCCTGTGTAGCTCTAACTAAGACACCCACAGGTTCCAGGAATGCTGCTGTCCTGTAAACTGGAAATGCCCTTAAAGCCAGGCTTGATTATTTATTTAAAAAAAAAAGCATTGGCAGAGCTAATCATTAATACTAAAATAAGTTGGTTTTAATTATTTTTCTTCTTGTGCCTAATAATTACCCTCACTGTGAATAAATGCCACAGCATTTATGAAGGACTTTGTGTACTCGCTATGAACAAAGATGGTGGAAGGAGTTGCTCAGCCTGGACAGCTGGCACTGCCTTTCGGGCGACTGCTAATGGCCATGCTGACAACTCAAACTGCAAAGGAATCCGTGGCCTTCCTGAAACCTGGTGACTCTGTCACCCTGCCCTCTTACCTGGACCTCCCTTGCTTGGTTGGTCAGGGCTGGAGGCAATGGGGCCCTATTTCTGGGTGCCATATTTCTGGACACCATGCCTCCTGAGTGACAGGGACAGTATTCCCAGGCACCATGCCTCCTCAGTGACAGGTGTCTTAAGGCTTTTCTGATGCTTTGCAGGGAACTTTGGGTCAGATCTCTGTGACTCACTTTATTGCAAATGGGACCGATGACCATGTGTGCGGTCACACTCCCATGCTCTCAGAGTGCATGGAGATTTGCCCTCAGGCCTCCCAGCATGCACAGGTCTCTGGTAGATTCGGGTATGAGTCTGTCTTGATAGGTACGTGGATAGGCAGTATTTTGGTGGGCTTCCCTTGAAGAGCAGCTGAAGGGGCTCCCATAGCACACAGCTTTCTGTCTGCTGCCTTTGACATGGGTCCTTTCTCACTGTTTTCTGCAGAACTCAGAAGTAACAAGGAAGGTTCCAGTAGGAGTCTATTTTGGAGGGAGCTGTAGAGGGTTGCTTGAACACGATCACAGCGATTCCCATTGGAGAAGTAATACACTGGGTCCACAGCTCCACGTGGACAAGGGCAGCTAGGAACACCACCCAATATAAAACTGTAAACTCACTTGGAACATTATGGTAATTTTTGATGATTTTGAGTGTTTTGTGATCTAACTGTACAGTTCTCCAGCATGGACTTTATAGGCAACTAATCGTTTTCCAGAATCCAAAGGTCAGACACATCGTAAAACTATTAGTCTGGTTTTTGTAAAACAATCAAAGCGTGCCAGCCGTGATCAGACGGCACAAGCAAGTACCAGACAGCAGTGATGAGGGTCTGCCCAGCACCTCAGTGTCCACAGCATGGTGCAGGGGACTCTGCGCAAGTGCTGAGACCAGGGTGATAGCCAGCCGGGTCCATGCTCACTCTCCCTGGCTGGAAAGGAGTTCAATAACCATTTTCACAAATTAAACAATCACACGCCAGGAAAACACCCTTAACCCCAAAAAGTCTGTTAAAGATATGGAGAGCAGAGGAAATGGCTCAACGGGTTATGTGCTTACTGTGTGACCATGAGGACCTGAGCTCAGAACTCCAGAGTTCCTGTCCGTGTGTGTGTGTGTGTTTGTGTGTGTGTGTGTGTGTGTGTGTGTGTGAGAGAGAGAGAGAGAGAGAGAGAGAGAGAGAGAGAGAGTTACAGTGCACACGTGGAGGTCAGAGGACAACCTTGGTGGTTAGTCCTTGCCTTTATCTTGTTAGAGACAGGGTCTCTTTCTACTTGATGCTGCAAATGCCCTGCTGGCTGGCCCAGAAGACTTGGGGATTCTCCTGGTTCTGCCTCCCATCTTGCTGTAGAAACTCAGGGATTATAGACACAAGCTGCTGCTCCCTGGCTTTTCCTGGCCTGTGCTCTGGAGGGTGCCAGCTACTCTGTAATTGATAGGGCAGGGGAGATGCTGCCTTGGCACATGGTGAGCTCTCGCAGCTCTTACCCCCCATCTGTGATCAGAGTCACTGGGGCATGACCAGCTCTTTCCCAAAAGACATGAAACACCACTTTATCCCGTGTCAGCTTACTGGGAGCAACTAGGTCTCTTCTGGGGCTTTCCATGCCGGTTTACTGTTGTAACTTTTCTTGTGCAAGTGTTAAAATCTTTAATTACCTCAGTTTCATTGTGTCTTTTATAAAATTTGATGGTACAGATCTCTCCACATTCAAAGGAACACTGTGTCTTTAAAAATATTTTATCTTACCCTTCAAGGTGAACTTAGTGTCGTTTTGTCATGTTCTCCCTTATCCTGGAGGTTTTGAAAGAGCAACTGAGTCTTCCCTTGATGGCAAATGTGCTAATGAGAATAATTTTATAGCATCGTGCTTCCTCATCAAGGCAGAATTTCTGCTAAATAAATTCACCTTAAAAGGAAAGATCCATGGAATTCCACAAATAGATCCTGAGGACACCTTTTAAAGATTCTTTCCAAGTGTTCTACAGAATCTGTATTTCAAATCTTTGAAGGCCGTTTTTCCCAGAATGTTTTGGGGACTCTTTACCTTCTTAAATTTTTATGTATACAGCACAACATGGTGAATTATCATCTTCAAGGATGATAAATTTGAAGTGTGCGTGCATGTGTATGCTATGCTGTGTTGTGTGTATGAATGCAGGTATCCACAGAGACCAGGAAAGGGCATCAGATCCCCTGGAGCTGGACTCACAGGTGGTTATGAGTCCCCACATGGGTGCTGGGAACCAAACGTGGGTTCTCGGCAAGAGCAGCCAACACTTTCAACTGTTGAGCAATCTCTCCAGCTCAGCAGTTTCAGGAAATACAAGCCCAAAGTTGTACAGTAGCTCATGACTTCTTTTCATGTTGCACAATGGAGTTTCATGCCAGGGGCAGAGACTCACCCTCCTCCAACTCACCTTCCCCCCAACTCACCCTCCCTCAACTCACCCTCCCCCCACTCACCCTCCCTCAACTCACCCTCCCTCAACTCACCCTCCCCCCACTCACCCTCTCCCAACTCATTCTCCCCCCATCCTACATGGTCTATTTTGATTACCATGGTTTTGAAGTAACTGACCTTCATCCTGACATTGGGTACTCTTCAAGGTCCATAACAAGATGGCACAGGACAAAGAGGTGGTCACCTCTCCAGATAAAGAGCAGTTCATGCCACAGTGACTCTGATACAAGAGGGTAAGCATCTGAAATAAGCAAGTTTAGATTTGGAATCTGAGTGACATTTTAAAATAAATATTAGCAGATTGGAATATTTCAAAGATAGAAACATAAAATTCCTCTAAGAAAACATAAACGCGAGGCTGGGGACATAGTGCAGGTGGCAGAGTGCTTGCCTAGCACCCATAGAGCCCTCTGCCTCAGGGCTGACCCTCAGCACCACAGAACACACGAGTCGCAGCACACAGCTGTGACTCAGCAGTTGGGAGTTGGAAGTTCAAGGTCATCCTGTGCCAGATGGTGAGTTTGATACCACCCTGGATCATGTGAGAACCTGTTGCAAAAATGTTTTTGTTTGTTAAATATTATATACATTATATATTATATGTTTATTTGTTATATAGTATATACATTATATATTAGGAATTGGGAAGTAGGGTCTTTGCCTGACTGAGGCCTTGAGTTTAATCTCCAGGGCCAGGGGGAAAGAGAATATTTATGGGACAAAAAAAAAAGAGTAACTAAAACATTGAAGAACATAGCAAAAAAAATTATAGTTTTGTGAACACCATCGGAGAAGCCACTGTAGGAAAGAATCCATAGTAACTGTCTGTCGATACTTGACTCCTTAAAGGAGTCCATACTTTAAAATATGAAATATTCATTCAAAGCAATGGGTAAGTCTTGACATCCCACTAAGAGGATGATCAGACTCTCTGAATGGGCACAATATTAAAAAAACAACTCCCAGGCCAAGAAGCATACAACAGATGTCCAGGCTTGAAGCCGCCAAAGATACGTAAATCGTTATGAAGTAGTGTGGATAGAGTTGGAGACAGACATTGTGGGTATGTAAGATCTGACATCTTGGGATAGCAGGTTGGCACATTCATCACAGGCTCGAAGGGAAGTCCTTCTCACTTAGTGGCTCACGTGTAAGAATTCACCCTAAGGAAATAAGCATTGCGAGGATTTATGCTGAGACCTAGCTGGGGCTGACAAGTGCTCAGCAGGTGTCAGTGCTTGCTGCCAAAGCGAGCAACCTAAGTTCAGTCCCCAAGGACCGACACGGCAGAAGGAGAGACCAGACTCCCCCAGATGTCTTCTACCCTCCACACGTGTGCCACCAGAACACATGTGCACCCTGCACACACGAAAACAATAATAATGATAATAATAATTTTAAAGAGAAACTCAGTGCTGGGGCAGTAACGGCTGCTGGGGAAGGACTGGGGTCTCCATGGGATGCCAGGGTGGACTGGCATGGGGGTCTGTGTGCTGGAGACCCTGACGGAGGCTGAGAGCAGCTCTGTGTGAGAAGCACTAAGGCCTTTGGGGATTTATGGTTTGGAGACTTTCCTCGGTCTTCACGCAAACTTCTCAGGTTCTTACCTTTCAAGTAACATTGAGTTTGGAGTCGAATTTCTGGAATCTGGTTTTCCCATTACAGCTTAGGCTTCTGTGGTTTCAGCAGAGAGTCACGTGTTTGAATTTCTGGATTTTGCTGGGGGTGGACTGCGATCATCCACACACAAGAACTTAAGTCTCTATTCCCTTCTTGCTGCTTTGCCTTTTAAAAGGGTTGTCTCGGGGCTGGAGAGAGGACTCTGAAAAAGAGCACTGACCACTCTTGCAGAGGCTCGGAGTTCAGTTCCCAGCATCCACATAGCAGTTCAACCATGCCTAACTCCAGTTTCAGGGGATCCAAGGCCCTCTTCGGACCTCCACAGGAACTAAGCCCATATGTGGTGCCC